TCAATAACACTTGAAACCTACAAACTGTAGCTCTTCTGCAAGGCACAATTACTAAGAACAAGTTCCAGGGAAAATTTATTGCTAATGAATAACAATGGGAGGTTTAATAAAAGGATGTTTTGAGATGGAACCCTCAAGCTAAGGCCAGCGTTTTCATCAGATAACCATTCAGCATGCCAGAATTAGCCCAATTCTCTGTAGCTGAACGGGATTTTCTGACAAGACAAAGAGGCAGCCATGGTCTGCATTAATCAAGTTTTAATGACACAGCTTGATTTTCCAAAAGTTCCCTTCAGGAATTTCCCTAATGTTCTTGGAGATAATATAGTGAGGCTATATCTAGTGTCTTAATCACATACATTTATATGTTGCTTTCAGATCATTTGTCAGGGTACACAGTCATATTCAGTGAAAGGCTGAAATATTAATGGAAATGTTAACCTTGTCATATTTTGGGTTGTGTTGGAACTGATCGTGTGTACCATAACTCTGAGCTTCTCCTTTGGGGAAGAGCGATTTTTAAGGGCAGGACAGATGTCAGTTTGCTCTGACTACCAGCTTCTTTTTGAGATTTACCCCATTGCCCAATCCCGTGGTCACCAGGAAGTCACACACAGACCCTGAAGCACAGGGGGTCCTCTCTCTGCTCAGAGCGTGAGTGGGACATGCTGTAGGAAAGCCTGAGATTTTTTATTTGACCAGTGGACTGCTCCCAAGGGCTTTATTCCATCTAAATTGTAACAAATTCTTTAACATTTTAAAAAAGAAAACATTGATTTACCTGGGTAGTTTGTTGCCTGTGTTTCAGCTGTTCTTAAAAGCCCACCATTTTTCTCCATTTGGCAATCCTAGAGGTCTGCATAAACTCAAGACAAGAGGTTTTGATTTTTAATTTTTTGTTTTGGAACCATATGTAGTGGTGTTCAGGGCTTATTCCTGGTACTGGGCTCAGGGGACCATATGTGGTGACAGAAATTAAACAGGGCTGGCCACAGGCAAGGCAAGAGCTGCACTATCCCTGGCCCAAGACAACATGTTTTAATGTAATACCTATTTTTCCCTTTTTGCTAACTTAAGAGGTCCAACGTAAATAAAGAAATGAAATGGATTCTCTAGGGGTGGCGATGGAACTTCGTATGTATGAAACAATCAGCATTATTATAAGTCATGGTACCTGAATAAAAATGAATGAAAGAAAGAAAAGAAATGAACTCCAAACTTTCTAATAAGATAAACTCCCACAGAGGAGGAAGTATAAATTGACATTTTCCATCCCAAATAGTGGGATCCTGTGATCACAGGAGACGAAAGAGTGTTTCCTATGGTCTGGACGAGAAACAAAAACAAAATGCACAGTGACACTGACACAGAATTGATGATGACATGGAGTTAGAATATCCTCGGGTCAGAATTGGGTGACGGACGTGTGGCACAACCAGCCATTGGGATTCAGCTGTAGGAGGGATGAGATCTTCAGGAGCAGCAGTCAAAGAATGCATGGCTATCGGGCCAGTGGTGAAATGGGAAATAATTGCAACTTTTTTGTAACTGTGTATCTCGCAGGCCACTCAATTTGGGAAATAAATCATAAGTAGTAAAATAGGTTGACCAAAAAAAAGCATCCAAGAATTTTAATAGGTGGGAACAGACGCAGCAAAATGGCAGCTACTCACCTGCTTTCGAGACTGCACTAAAGGAGGATGGATGAAATACTCCAATGATTTGACTAGTAACTGTTGGGATTTTTAAATTATCAAATGTAACACTGTATTATGCTAAATGAGCAGATTCTTGTGAAGAAAAATAATTTTTGTTGAAGGAAGTCTAGAGAAATGTGAGGGCAGAGGAGGAGAGATTGGTGTTCCAGAGACAACACAGGCTTCTCCAGAGGGGCGCAAAGGCCCTAAATGATCTTAAGTATAAGAGTGCAGAAAGATGGACAACAGGAAGATATACCTAAAAAGAGACACATTGTCTAAAAATTAAATTAAGTAAGTACAGGTGGTGATACTACTCTCAGTAAACAAGCCCACAATTTCTTAGAATTATTTTTTCTGGAGCAGGGGGAGTACTACTAGATTTCATTGAGAACAGTGAGATAAATCCTGAAACTCCACTCAGAGAATGGGGTGAGTTGGGGGTCGGAGGGAGGTGAACTAGTCTACTATTTCTCAGTTTCTAGAGGTGGCTACCGGAAGTAGCATTTCCTTTGTGGTTATTTGCTGAAGGGATGAGTGGCTGGCTGTTGCTTATCCAGGGCTCACTGGGGAAAAAAATCTTAGTTCAAACTTCTCTTCTTGTCACTCCAGCTCGTGGTGGAGATATGATTAGACAGTGATTATGTTTTAAAATTTCCTCTAAGGTTTCTCAGTCACAAATCAACAAAATCTGGATCAGTCGAAGTTCCCATCTCAGGACTTTGATGACGAATCAAGTTTTTTTAAAAAACTTTTTCTTAGTCAATCACCATGGGGTACAGTTACAGTCTTACAAACTTTTGTGCTTGCGTTTCATACAATGGTTGTACAACGGTTGAGTCCAAGTTTAAGGAGGATCTTTGTTTTTCACCCAGACTCGGCTAGTTCCCAGACTGCTTCTTCTAAACTCTGGTACAGAAGCTGGAGACTCCTGGAGTTATCTGGTGTGACTCAGATGCAATTGTTGCTTTTATTCAGTCGGTTCCCATGAGTAGAGCTCCTGGGACCCCCGTAGTCCTGCTGACTTATTAGGTTTTTTGCCTTTCCACACATCCCTGGGGAGTGAGCCCCCAAACAGCAGCCCAGCCTTCCAACCGCACCTCTGATGAATGGTGTCAGGAATGCTCTGTGCTCCTTCCCATGTGCCCCGAGTGCTCCCCCGGGACTTGCCCCTCAACCACAATGACGATGCTTTCTGAAGGGGTTAGGAGGTGAGTCTGTCAGGAATGCATGAGCAACACTCAGTTATACCAGTCCCTGGGGAAACGCCCCCTCCTCTCTCCCGAGCTCCTTTACAGGCCCATGCCTGTCCCCTATGTCTTCGTCATCCCTGCACAGGTGAGGGGCAGCTGTGGTGACTCTGGTCAAGATGCACCCCTGGCCTGACCCATATAGCCCGCTCCCTTGTGGAAATTTCCCAGTGCCACCAAGATGATGTAGCCTAGAGTTGAGTCCGGGAGTTGGTTCCCCGGCCCAGTGAGCCTGGACGGGAACACAGCCTCCCCTTAACTCCTTCTGTATCATCACTTAACTCACTAGGAGAATCATAATAAAATACAAAGAAAGGGGCCCAAACGATAGTCCAGTGGGTAGGCGCTTTCCTTACATGTGGCCAACCCATGTTCAATCCCCAACACCCCATAGGTTTCCCGATGAAAATAAATGTTCAACGATTGTCCTTTTGTGCTACTGTTCCTGGAATATAATTGCCTGTTTTCCTTGAAGAGAATAGAAAAGTATCCCTCCAACTTAAGTACTTATTAAAACTTAAGTGCTTATTAAAACTGCAATAGTGCGTGTGCTCTGCTTACTGAATTTCAGAATTTAGAGACCAAAAACTAAGAATAGCTTTTGTTGTCTTTTCTTTGTATTTCTCCAATAGTTCTTTTGCAGACAGTACATGACAGGAGCTATGGCCTTGAGTCCATGTTCACGATAGATCATAGTGGGAACTTTAGCTTTTTCCATTTGTGACATTTTTTTCTGCCCAAGAAATTCTTGTGCTACCCCAGGTATATAGGTATATTAGATGTACTAAAGCAGGTATTTTCTGATAATGAAACATTAGGAATCACGATCATCCTGTTGGTCGTCGATTGACTCGAGCAGGCACCAGTAACATCTCCTTCATCCTAGCCCTGAGATTTTAAAAAGTGCCACATTTGAGGCTCTTTCAGGGTCAGGAGAATGAGACCCATCATTGTTACTGATATTTGGCATATTAGGTATGCCACGGGGAGTTTGCCAGACTCTGCTGTGTGGGCAGGTTATATTCCATAGCCTGCCAGGTTGTCCAAAGTAAGAATGAGATAATAAGATGTCACTCGGCTGCAAATGCGGCTGCACACTTCTGGAAACTGAGTTTTATAGTCTCTGGGTCTTGGCCATTGATGGGATTACTTGGTGCTGGGGGCAGATGGTGGGCGTGACCCCTGCCTACTGGAAGATGGAGGATCTGGGTGGAGGATGCTCAGCCCTGATCCGAGCAGGCTTGGAGATCTCAGGTAATCCCATCAATGGCCAAGACCCAGAGACTATAAAACCCAGCTCCCAGAAGAGAACAGTGCAGCGTCTCCTGCCCCCGTGCCTGGCTGTCCTCGCCGGGGGCCCCCTGGAGAGGGGCGGGTTGAGTTTCCCTCCCTGCTCCGAGCAAAGCCCTAGCAGCCGAAGACCTCCAGAACCAGCCACAACCATGTTGAGACCACTCTCTACACACATGAAGGAACCAGCAGAGGAACACAGGCATGCGGGTCCCAGGGCCGAGAAACATTAGGAAATGCATACCAAAATTCATTCAGTTTGCAGTCGCAGTGTGAGAATCTAGGGGCTAGAATTTCTAATGATTATTGGATAAAAGGCAAGTCATTGCTCATCTGAGAGAGTACAGAGTATTGGAAAATATTCGACTTTCCTGTTTAGGAAACACAGACTATGGATTTAACTTTCCAGGGTTTTACAAAGCCTGCGTGTCACTGCACAAATGAACACATGGGCAAGAATAAATCTACCTTGGTATTGCCACCGGTTTCTATCACTTCAGTAATATTTCGGTTTCCTCCCTTCTTCACAATGCTGGGGAGTGTCTGGGTGCTAAGAGAACCCCTTTGTCTTTCCTCTCCGTGTTGAGGAGCATACCCTGGAAGGGGGGCGAGTCTGTCATCTCGTAGAACAGCTCACCTCTTTCCCCCGACTTCCTGGAGCTGGGCACTAGCTGGCAGCACCTTCCTCCCTGAGCCCCCCTGCACGTTCGTGCTGCTTCCAGAGGGGGCTGCGTGTGACCTCGGGGCCTCTGTTCTACCTCAGGAGCGGCTGCTGCTGTCTCTGCTGCCGGCCCACATCGCCATGGAGATGAAGGCTGAGATCATCCAGCGGTTGCAGGGCCCCAAGGCCGGCCAGATGGAGAATACCAACAACTTCCACAACCTCTATGTCAAGCGACACACCAATGTGAGGTACGCTTGCTCTGGCCCGGGAATGTGTGTGTGTGGAGGGTGATCATTCTCCCTTTTGGGTGGGGGGGATACAACATCCTGTCTCTTGTAGCAGTCAAGCCGCTGAGTGTAGAACATTTCCCTCTGCACCCCCTATGGCTCGGGGGTCCCATAGAAATCAGAAAATAGTGTCCTCTTTCCCTATTGCATTGAGACTTCCTGCTTCAGTGGCCAGTGATCAGTCACGGAAGGAGGGCGAGGGCGGTGGGGGGAGGGTTGGGAGATCCATTTAGCTTTTTCTCTGGACATCTTCGAAACATCAGGATTTGGCTTTTATTTTGCTACTTCTACATTAGGAGTTATTAAACCATAATTCTGTCCTCTCAGAGTTCTGTCCATCTGCCTTGAGGGCCACACAGGCCTGGGGGGCATAGGATGGGAAGGGGACATGGAGGAGGAACAGAACTGAGATTTTTTTTTCCATCTCCCATTTAAAAAATGTAGCATCAAAAACTATTTTATGAGAACACTTCGCAACAGGTTCCCATAGCCTCTATTTTGGGAAATTGATCGCCCTATGGAAGGGTAAATGTAAAGTGAGAATTTCTGTTTTCCTATTAGGTCTCCTAGGGCTGGAGCGATAGCACAATGGTAGGGCATTTGCCTTGCACGCGGCCGACCCGGCCGACCCAGGTTCGATTCCTCCGCCCCTCTCGGAGAGCCCGGCATGCTCCCGAGAATATCTCACCCGCATGGCAAAGCCTGGCAATCTCCCCGTGACGTATTCGATATGCCAAACACAGTAGCAACAAGTCTCACAATGGAGACGTTCTGGGCCCGCTCAAGCAAATTGATGAACAGCGGGAGAACAGCGCTACAATGCTCCTAGGAAGTGCTCAAGGGCAGTCCTCTCCTGGCAGTGTTCGGCTGCCAGGATGGTGGTTCACTGTGAGGGTGGAGGGTGCAAGTTTGCTGGGACCTCAGCAGCAGGGATTTCGGGGGCCACCCAGCCATGCTCAGGGGCCTGTGGGGCTTCCCTCTGGCACTCAGGGGACCGTGTGGTCAGGGAACCATGGGATCAGCCACAGGCGAGGCCCGTGGCTACACCCTTGCACGCCCAGCCCAGGCCTGACTCTCAGTGGGAGAAACTCCTTCCTCACCTCCCCTGCATGGATGAGCTGAGCCTGTCCACTTTTCCATCCGCAGCATTCTGTACGCTGACATCGTGGGCTTCACCCGGCTGGCCAGTGACTGCTCCCCGGGAGAACTGGTCCACATGCTGAACGAGCTCTTTGGAAAGTTTGATCAGATCGCTAAGGTGAGTCTTGGGTCGCTCCCATCAGCAATCCCCGTCTCTGTGTGTCCTCCTTGGGAATTTGCAAGATTCCTTTAAAGGAAGCAAGATGCTTGTTATTGAATGACACTTAGAAAGGTGTGAGCAAGGGAAGGAAGACGTGTCTGTGGAAACACGGGCTTAGAAGAGACCTAGCAACAAGGAAGTGAGACACATTCAGGGGCACACGGACTTGATGCGCGAGCCTGGACGTGTAAGTGGACTTCCTCTTTTCCCTGTCCCCTTGGTGAACATCAGAGGAAACCGTGGCATGTGCTCTGAGGCCTCAGGTACTGACTTAGGGGCCTGGGGCACTGTTTTCCTCTGCAATACTCATTTTCCTCTATGGCTTTTTTCCCATGAAGTATTTATACTTAATTTTTTTCAAATGTTCCAACAAAACAGGAGTAAGCCCTGAGCATCACCAGATGCTTATTTGTATTTTTGTATTTTTTTAATTTCTATTTTGTATCTTGTTGTATTTTGCATTACGAAATACATGTTTATTTGTGTTTTGAACAAATATTACAAAATACAAATATTATTTGTGTTTTGGACTGGAGTGATAGCACAGCGGGTAGGGCATTTGCCTTGCACGCGGCCGACCCGGGCCGACCTGGGCCTACCTGGGTTCAGTTCCTCCGCCCCTCTCGGAGAGCCCAGCAAGCTACTGAGAGTATCTTGCCCACATGGCAGAGCCTGGCAAGCTACCCGTGATATGCCAAACACAGTAACAAGTGTCACAATGGAGACATTACTGGGCCCACTCGAGCAAAATCGATGAACAACGGGAGGACAGTGACAGTGATTTGTATTTTGAAGACTGGGTTTTGTTGCAGTTGGCTATGAGATGTGCCGCCGATTCCCTCAGAGGGACAGACCTGGCAACAGAGCTGCTGGCCTTGGTCCACTCCCACCAGGAGACCAGGACTCCCCTCACTGGGGATTGATAAATTCAGGAAAGGGGGACAGAGAGAGTCCAGGGGTGAAGGTGCTTGCCTGGTATACACTCCCCACACCCATATCGCCCTAGCCCTGCCAGGAGTGATCTCTGAGCACAGAGCCAGGAGCAAGTCCGGAGCACTGCCAGGTATGGCCCCAAATCAAATAATAATAATATAAAACTCAGGAAAATAGCACCCCACATCCTTCCCTTTCTACCCCAGAGGGGGTAGAGATGGGATAACAGAAGAGGGAATGTGGCACTCGGACACCGTGTAGCAGCACTGCACATATAAAACAGTCAGATTGGTACTATTGTCAACAATAATAAATAACATTTTAGTTGGTGACAGGATCTTTCTGCCAACACATAAATATAAAAGATTTTATCTGTAAAGTAATAAATGGACATTGATGCCCGTGAATGCAGTTAATCTCAGCATTGTAAACACAGACCAGCTAAGAAAAATAATGAATCTTACTTTATAACGCTGACCGGGGTCAGAATTAAGTTTTAAATGACTTGCTGAAGGGTGGTTTAATATATTGTAGAGATGGATATCCGAGGCTGCATGTCTGCAGGTAAAAATCTGCTTCCACTTTAAAATAATGAAGAAGAATGTGAGCATCAAAGGAAATCGCCAAGATTTTAATTAGAGTTCCCTCATCATTTCCTATCTTGGAAGATCCTCTTGCTCTTAAGAATGTTCTATTTTAGATGGCGGCCGCACGGGAGCCTTGTGGACAGCAGGTTTGAGCCGGGGGCGGGGGGCAGCAGGGGCCTCATGGGAAGGGGGGCGTTCTGGGCCGCCTTCACGCCAGACCGAGGTCACCAGCTGCCCCCCACGAGCGGCTCTCCGGCACGGCCACGACTCCAGAGCACAGAAACCAATCTCTTAACTATCTAACTTTTAATAGAAATACTTCCAGGGTTAATAAGTGAAACAGCAGAAATCCAAAACCGCGCGGCCGCATCATTTTATTCTTAAACCAAGCTGTAGAAAGCAAATCATTTCACAACGCTGTTTCAGCATATCTGATTGGGGGGAGGGGTCGTAAACTCTAAACAATAATTGTGCATCTTCTATCGAAACAATGTATCTAGTCAAAGTAGATAGAGTATTAACTAGAACTCATCTGCCTCACAGGAATTGGGAGGGGTGGGAGGTGGGGTTCTATTGGGGTTCACGGTTAAAAATAAGTATTGGTAAAGGGAAATGTGTTTGATACTTACATGACTGAGACCTAAACCCGAAAGCTCTGTAACTTTTCCCACAGTGATTCAATAAAGAAATAAACTATTAAAAAAAAAAGAATGTTCTATTTTATTATCAGTATTTGGGGACATTCTTACTGGAGAAAATGATTCTTTGTCCTCTACTGCTAATGTTAAGTGTCAGTCATTAATCAGAGGTTCCCAAACTTGGCCTACAGCCTCCTTGTCAGATAATAATAAATTGCTTAGTCCCTCTCTGAAAATTTACCTAGTTTAAGTAAACAAGAAGAAAGTGTCCCCAAATTGCACCCACGGCTATTACTGCTCCCCTCTACATTATTCCAGCATTTGGTGGGGGCAATATTGTCCACTTTGGGAAAGTGCTCTAGAACCTTCTCTCTGCTTTCCCTTTGTTCCCCTACCTTCCATTCTTCCTGCTTTGGCAAGTAGGAATAGGGGCAGTTCATTCTTACTGGGTAATGGTGAAGAAGTCAGCTGTTTCTCATCTCTTGTTCCACAAAATCCCTGTGCGTGAAGATACGGCCAGAAGAGTTTGTGATTGATGATTTTTAGCCAATCGAAATCATGACTTAAGTTTTTACTCAACCAGATTCTGTGCTTTCCTCTTGTAGGAGAATGAATGCATGAGAATAAAGATCCTCGGGGACTGCTACTACTGTGTGTCGGGGCTCCCCATCTCCCTCCCCAACCATGCCAAGAACTGTGTCAAGATGGGCTTGGACATGTGTGAAGCCATTAAGTGAGTATCACTGAGCGAGACCTTTTAAACTATTTGCTCATTTTCAATCGTCATTTCATAATTCTCTTTATCCTTCTACCTACTGGCTTGACATTAAGAACAATAGGACAGCAGGTCAGGCACTTGTCTTTCCCACAGCAGACCCGGGTTCAATCTGTGGCATTCTACATGGTCCCCGAGCCCTCTGGGAGTGATCCCTGAGCACAGATCTGGGAATAGCCCCTGAGTACAGTTAGGTCTGGTCCAAAAATAACAGACATAATTGTACGTGTAGATGGAAATGCACAAAGACCAGATATGTCTTCTTATTCTTATCCTTAGATTACAGCAGAACCGAATTAGACATTTGGGAAATGGTGTTGGATTCAAAAGTAATTTACTTATTTTATTTATTTTTAAATATTTTTTAAAAAATAAGACTCACTATCCTTCCTTGAATCCCACCCTTTATCCCAACCTCTGTAAAGTAAAGTAAAGTAAAGTAAAGGCCCTCCCGTTGATCATCGATTTGCTCAAGCGGGCCCAGTAACGTCTCCATTGGAGACTTTGTTGTTACTGTGTCTGGCATATCGAATACTCTCGGTAGCTTGCCGGGCTCTCTGTATTCACTGATTTACTTTTATTCTGTTTTATCAATCAATTTTATGTCTTATGTGAAATCATAGTCACTCTCTTCATTTCTTCTTTTCTTTGTTATTTGCGTATGGGAATTCAACAGTTTGTATATTGGATTTTTTGTGGGTTTTGTTTTTTTTTTTTGCTTTTTGGGTCACACCCAGCGAGGCACAGGGGTTACTCCTGGTTCATGCACTCAGCACTCGGGAATTACTCCTGGCCGTGCTCGGGGGACCATATGGGATGCTGGGAATCGAACCTGGGTCAGGACGCATGCAAGGCAAACGCCCTACCTGCAGTGCTATCACTCCAGGCCCTGTATATTGGTTTTGTAAACTCTACTCTGTGGTATTCATTTACTGTTTCCAACGTCCTTTTGGTGGAGTCATTAGGGTCATGGATGATCATATCATCTGTTAATCTAGCTCCATTGACTTCATCTTCCTTCTTTTCATTTTTTTGGCTTTGTCTTTGTCCTCTGCCTAGGACATCTAAACTAAACTAAGTCCAAGTGGTGAGAGTAGACGACTTTCTCCTTTTGTTCATTTTAAAGAGGAGCCTTTGACTTTTTTACCATTGACTGTGCAACTCATTCTGAGTTTATATTACACTTATCATATTGAGATTTCTTGCTCATACCCTAACTTTTTTGAGAGTTCTTGTCATGACTGCAAAATCAAAAGCTTTCTCAGCATCTTTTGATATTGTATGACATTACCATTCATCTTTCCATTACGTGAATTGAGTCACATAGGTTGAACCACATTTGCATCCTGAAAATAAACCCCACTTGGCCATGAGGCATGATCCTTTGGGTTCATTGTTGATTTTGATTTGTAATATTTTCTCATACTTTTTCACATCTCTGGTCTTCAGAGATAACGTTCTCTATTTCTTTTTGTGGTGTTCTTATCTGGATTTGGTAGCAAGATAATGTTGACCTCCAAAGTGTCTGGAAAGCATTTTTTTTATTTCTCAGCATCTTAGAAGAGTGAGAAGAATAAGCCTAAGTTCTCCTTGAAATTTTGGTGAAATGCACCGGGGAAGCCATGTGGTGAGGCTTCTGCTTTATTGGGAGGAACTTTATTACTGTTTCCAGTATCTGTAGGTTGCTAGATCTCCTTGGTTTTCCTGTTTCCTCTCGTTTCCTTCCATTTTGGTTGGCAATACTTTCCTGAAAACGTACCAATTTCTTCAAGATTATTAAGTTTATTGACATGTCCTTATGGGTCTTAAATTCCTTTGTCTCTTTAGGCTGTTGGTTGTGATTTCTCCTCTTTCATTTCTGATTCTTTATTAGTGTTTGCTCTCTTCTTTAAAAGGCTGGCTAAAGGCTGATTTTATTTATCTCTTCAAGAAACCAGCTCCTAGTTTTATTAATGTTCTGTAATTTGGTGGTGGGGGGATTTCTCTTTCATTTCTTTCTCTCTGCTTTATTTTTCATTTGTTCTGGTCAGCTTGGACAGTGCTATGGATATTCATGGTCTTGGCACATACAATCACTTCACCGCCACCAAGTGACCGCTCTGATTTTCATAATCTCTTTCCTTCTATTTTGTTTTGTTTGTTATTCTTTTACCTTTTGCTTTAGGTGTGAGGTTAAATTGTTTTGGTGTGATTTTTCTTGTGTGTGTTTGAAGGGTTGTATCTCAGTGATTACCCCTCACTGCTTCCCACGGTTCTGATAATAACTTGTTTTCATTTTTGCTTCCAGTGATTTTTTTCTGCCGGATATTACTTCCTCACCTAATGGCTAGTCATTCGCCTAATGAGTACAATGAAGCATCTTCTTGAGTCTCAAATATTTAAGTTTTTTCAGGTTTTCTTTCATATTTGAGTTCTAATTTCATAGCATCATAATCAGGATAGCACAGCGGGTAGGACGTTTGCCTTACACATGGCCAACCCAGGTTCGATTCCTCCGTCCCTATCAGAGAGCCTGACAAGCTACCGAGAGTATCCCACCTGCACAAGTAGAGCCTGGAAAGCTCCCCGGGGCATATTCGATAGTAACAAGTCTCACAATGGAGAGGTTACTGGTGCCTACTTGAGCAAATTGATGAACAATAGGAGGACAGTGCTACAGTGCTATAATTAGGAAAAGTACTTGATATAATTCCAATCCTTATTTGTTTTTTGATAACTGTTTTGTGTCCTAGCATATGGTCAGTCCTTGAAAATGTTCTGTACGCACTTGAGGGAAAAATATAAATTTAGCTATTTGGGGGTGAAATGTCTATAAACTATGAATTAAGCCCATCTGGTTTATTTCATCAACTAAGCCTACTATTTCCTTGTTTATTTTCTATTTAGTTGATAGATGGGGAGATATGCTTTTTTTTGTTTCAAAGGTTTTTTAAAAAGTGTTATATATCTTGGGGCTGGAGTGATAGCACAGCGGGTAGGGCATTTGCCTTGCACGCGGCCAACCCGGGTTCAATTCACAGCATCCCATATGGTCCCCTGAGCACCGCCAGGAGTGATTCCTGAGTGCAAAGCCAGGAGTAACCCCTGAGCATTGCCGAGTGTGACCCAAAAAGCAAAAAAAAAAAGGTGTTATGTATCTTAAGGACAAAAGTCCATGTTCTTGTCTTCACAATTTATGTAGAATAATGCAGCTGTATTCAAATCTAAGAGCAAAAGTAAGTTATAACATCATGTAAATAATACAGAAATCCAGTCCATAGATCTTTCATCTAGTGAAAATTCCCAAGCCATTTATTTTCAGTTTGTATCTATATGTTCTGCATTTTTTGTACTATCTCTTTTGTTGTAATTAAGTAGATTTCCCTGCTTTGAATAATGTTATCCTTGCAGTTCATAAGTACAGGTAAAGTGTAAGGTACAAAGTTAATTTTGATTACCAGTATCGAGAGTTTATTTTTAAATAATGCTCTTTATCACTATCCAGATACTCTAGTAATGGATCCAAGCTCATTTGTTGGTTCCCCGAGAGGAAAATTTTAGTTTCTTTTCATTTTCTGTCTGCTGTGGGTTTAAACATTATAGGAGTCCCTTGTGGCTGCTGCAACTCCTCGTCTCAGAGCTAGAATAAAGGTGACTGTGCACTGGCTCCTAGCAGAGTTGCCTGGCCTGCCCAGACCAGAGAGAGGAACTACCCACTGCCCCAGTCGGGTCTTAGAGCCCCAACAGTTCCAGAGACGCATCGGCTGTAGCAGTTCCACGGGCCACTGTGGACGTTTCAGGGAATGGGAAAGAAGTGAATCCAGTCACCTGAGGAGAAAATCAAGATACAGGCTAGGAGTGGCAGTTCTGCTTCTCTCTGACAGGAAGAACACTGCCTGGAAAACCATCCAGTCATCCCTGCTCCCTCCTGCAGATAAACCACTTATTTTAATTTCAAAAGTAGTTATTTGCAGTGCTACAGGGCTGGAGGGAACAGAATCCAATCAGTGTAATTTACAGGTGTTCTTTCTCTTTTCAATGGTGTAGGTCATGTATTTATGATGGCGTTGGTGTTTATGTCTCGGTGCACACAGTACACTCACCACCAGCAAAGTGTCCCCGTCCCCCGCCCCATGTCACCTCACCCACCTGCTCCCCCTAGTGTGCTGCTCTCAGTTTGTCCTCTCGGACCCAGGGCTGTGAGCAGGAATATTGTCCCCAGAAGGACTCCTCTCCATCTCCACCAGATGTGTGAACCTACCTGAGGCTCGTCCTCCCTCTTTCTTATTTAGCCTAGCAGAACCCTGCTTCAGCTCTGTCCATGGTTCCACTATTGTCTCCTTACTGCATGGCACCCCACTGGGTTCGTATGCCAGAACCTCTTTCCCCACTCACCTGTTGTCCGAGCCATCTGGCTCCTGGATCTCCCCCATGTTCTGCAATGGATGAAGCTAGGGAGGGCAGAGGGCAGGGGGTGGCGGTGGGCCAGAGCTGGCAGGGCTGGCAGCTCTCCGTGCTGTGAGAGGGGCAGATGGGCCATAAAATGTCTGCACAACTGACTGCAAGTGCCCTTTAAGTACTTCGTCTCAGAATGGCTTTGGGGCGGGAGCGATAGCACAGCAGGAGGGCGTTTGCCGGGATCCCCAGCATACGGTATGCTCCCCCGAGCACCACCAGGAGTGATTCTTGTGTGCAGAGCCAGGAGTAACCGCTGAGCATCACTGGGTGTGACCCAAAAAGAAAAAAAAAAGAGTGGCTTTAGGTTGGACCTAAACTGGCACCCAACAGAGCAGGCCTTGTGCAGTTGCAGAAGCACCCGCAGGCTCCTGGAGTTAGCTCAGCTCTTGGTGCTGTGGGCAGCGGGAGTTAGCATGAATGACCAGGGCTCTTCAGGCCCAACTTAGCTCTGCTGCAGACCGTGGGTCCCAGAGTTGAGTGGGTGCCTGGGCCTCCTCCATGGGAGGCCAGCTCAGGCAGCTGGTTCTGGCAGGGCGTCTCCAGCACCATTTCTTCCCGCACCAGTGCCACCTACAGCCTATTATGGAGGAAAGCCTCCCTGAGCACCCACCATCCAGAGACTGAGGATCAGGGAGGGTTGCCAAACTGGCAGTTATAGACCGTCCAGAGCTTCCAAGCCACCTATGGCAGCCATGCTGGCCCACCCGAGAGGAGCCCCCAGCAGCTGCTTCTTCACACAATCCAAATTGCTACATGCTCCCAGCCAGACTCCACCATTTCAGGACAGACCTCACCAAGACATGGTAAAGGTAAAGGTAAAGGCCCTCCCGTTGATCGTTGATTTGCTCAAGCGGGCCCAGTAACGTCTCCATTGGAGACTTTGTTGTTACTGTGTCTGGCATATCGAATACTCTCGGTTGCTTGCCGGGCTCTCCGAGAGGGGCGGAGGAATCGAACTCGGGTCGGCCATGTTGGCCGCTTGTAAGGCGAACACCCTACCGCTGTGCTATCGCTCCAGCCCACCAAGACATGAATCTGCTGAAAATTCAGGTGTGGGGGTTTTGTGACTGAAATCTCCAGGCTTTCTTAGAGTCAGGAAGGGCTCTCCTCCCCCACCTCCTGACACTTCCAGAAACCGCAGCAATCACATCCACACCCCAAAGCTGCCACCCAGTTAAAAAAAAACTACTCCAGCTGTATCTTCCAGATCAAAATACTAAAACCCTGAAAAAGCACCTGTAATGCACAAAAGGAGAGAGAGAAAGAAGAAACGTGCCTGCCATAGAGGCAGGAGTGGGAGGGGGTCATCAGTAGGGAAGGTGGTGAAAGGGAAACTGGAGACATGGGTGGTGGGAAATGTGCACTGGTGGTGAGACAGGTGTTAAAACATTGTTTGACTGAAAGCCAATCATGAGGGGCTGGAGCCATAGCACAGCGGGTAGGGCATTTGCCTTGCATGCAGCTGACCCAGGTTTGATTCCCAGCATCCCATTTGGTCCCCCAAGCACCACCAGGAGTAATTCCTGAGTGCAGAGCCAGGAGTAACCCCTGTGCATCACTAGGTGTGACCCAAAAAAAAGAAAGCCAGTCCTGAACAGCTTTGTAACTGTGTATCTCATGGTGATTCAGTAAATAAGAAAGTAAGTAGCATTGCACCGTAGCACTGTCCTCCCATTGTTCATTGATTTGCTCCAGCAGGCACCAGTAATTTTCCATTGTGAGACTTGTTGTTACTGTGTTTGGCAGATGGAATATGTCACTGGTAGCTTGCCAAGCTTTGCCGTGTGAGTGAGATACTCTTGGTAGTTTGCGGGGCTCTTTGATGGGACAGAGGAATTGAACCCAGGTTGGCTGGGTCAGTAGCGTGCAAGGCAACCGCCCTACTCACTGTGCAATAGCTCCAGCCCAAGAAAGTAAGTAAATAAATAAATAAATGTAAAATCTTGCACCCAGAGGCAGCACGGGGGTTGGTGTCAAACATGGGATGAAATGACTTCCGTGAATCAGTTTTATGAAGGAGAAAATTGAGTATAATAATAACCCATTTCATTAATCAATTCATCCTTCTGCAGAAGCTTAATTTCTGCTTTGGAAACAACGGTTTTCCAGTGCCATGATGTTTACATTATTCTATTGTGTTAGAGAAACCTTTAGGGGGGAAAAAATCCACATGTTGCATTCAGTGGGCTCCTCAGAAATGAGTCAGGCTGCCTCGTCAGAATTCCTAGACTGCAATATTTTTCAATAATTTTTAATTAGTCTTTTTTTCACGATGCCTTCTTCAAGCTTTTTCCAAAGCACCTCTTTGTTTCGTCAAAGAAGGGGCACAATTGAAGAAGCTTTCCTCTCGTGGTTCTTTGGACTCTGTTGAAGCTGCCATCATTGTTAAGGTCACCGACAAATCATTTTGTCCTCGTCGCAGTAGACAGTATCCCATGGGGACATAAACACCAGAATTGCAAATGGTGCCTGTGATCACTTCTGGCATTTCTGGGCTGTGTCACATAATCTCAGCATGGAGATGTGGAGTCAGTGCCCACCTATGATGGGCGCTCGGCGCACGTTGGCTGGGGCAGCCAGGCTCCGGTCAGGGAGGGTCGGCCACAGGAGAAGGGCCTTTCTCTCATCTTAGAGTACCCGTCTCCTGCCACGGTGGGTGTCCATGCCGTGTGCCAGACTTCTGAGGGCTCCGGATCCACTGGCCTTACTGAGAGGGAGTTCCCAGCCAGTGACATGCTTGCTTCCCTTCAGGAAAGTGAGGGACGCGACTGGTGTGGACATCAACATGCGTGTGGGCGTGCACTCCGGGAACGTGCTGTGCGGCGTGATCGGCCTGCAGAAGTGGCAGTACGACGTGTGGTCCCACGACGTCACCCTGGCCAACCACATGGAAGCCGGGGGGGTCCCCGGGTAAGACCTTGGGTTTCTCTCCCTGGTGGCTGCCTGGATTGGCCGATGGGTTGGTGGGCTCAGTGGTCTGTGCTCCCTGCTTCCTCATTTGGTAGTGAGGTCGGTTCAATCCTGCCTCGTGGCCTGCACATAAACCACGAGAATTCTCATGTCCCAGTTCCACTTCCCACCATTGGTCCAAGGGAACTTCTAACCAAGAGAATCTTATTTAACTGCAAATTTATCAGTAGACACCTAAGCCAGGCTGTTTTCTAATGCAGTGTAAACGTGGTCTTTATGACTGGCACTCGGACCCCAGTGCTGTTAAAATGAGCAAACCAGTGCCACCTGGCTAGATGAGTCTATTTCAAACAAGAGAAGTTTAAGGCAGGTGCTGGATTGTGAAGGCAGCAGAGCAAAGTGAGAAAGGAAATGCACGTTTCCGGTCCTCTAGCCCATGCTTGCCCTTGAACACGTGTCTTGCTGGCTGGCCTCTGTGTTTCTATGCTTGTTTATCTCCACTCTGGAGGAGCCCATGTTCTCTCTTGAGTAAATGCTTCTCCCTCTTTATCTCCTCATGTCTTTCTAAAAAAGTTTTAATAAAAAATTACTTTGAGACACAAGGAGGGAAGGAGGGAAGGAAGCAGGAAAGGAAGGAAGGAATAAAAGAGGGGAGTAAGGGAGAGAGGCAGGGAGAAAGGGAGAAAAAGAGAGAAAGAAAGGAAGAGAAAGAAGAAAGAAAAGAAAGAAATAAAAGAAAGGAAGGAAGGGAGAGAAGGAGGGAGGGAGGGAGGGAGGGAGGGAGGGAGGGAGGGAGGGAGGGGAGGAAAGGAGGTAGGGAGGAAAGGAGGTAGGGAGGAAGGGAGAAAAAGAGAGAAAGAAGGGAAGAAAGAAGGGAAGAAAGAGAAGAAAGAAGATAGAAGAAAGAAAGAAGGTATAAAGGAAGGAAGGAAGGAAGGAAGGAAGGAAGGAAGGAAGGAAGGAAGGAAGGAAGGAAGAAAAAAAGGAAGGAAGGACTAATACAGACAGGCACGGTTTCCAAAATTTCTCATGGTATTTCCCTTTTCAAATACTAAATCCTCATACACATACTCAGCCCAGTCAAGTTTGCTTTTGTTCATTCTCGCAACCCCTGCCCTCTCCAGCACAGCCCCAGAGCCCCGCTTAGCAGCACACACACCCTGATATACTCAGTCCTTTGTACCATGGATGTGTTTCCTTCAGCTGGAAGGGAAAGTGTTAGATCTGCAATCACAAAGAACTAGCAGCTCTCCCTTCACACTCACCCTTCTGTGTCGTGCGTGTGTCTTTATACTGAATTTCAGGCGTGTCCACATCTCATCTGTCACCCTGGAGCACTTGAATGGGGCTTATAAAGTGGAGGAAGGAGATGGTGACATCCGGGACCCATATTTAAAGCAGCACCTAGTGAAGACCTACTTCGTCATCAACCCCAAGGTGAGAGGTGTCAAAAGCCCAGTCAGCCACTGGCAGAAGGGAAAGGGTGCAAGACTCGTGACCCTGTCAGTGGTCAGAAATCAGTGCCATGCCTTGGCCCATCCCTGCCTCCACAGTGACTTTAAACCCATCACAGTGAAATACAGACTGTGTCTTGTGACAAGAAGAGCAACAAAACTAACTCCTAGACTCATAAAAATGAGGGGGATTGCAGTGGGCAGGGGAAGAATAGCTCTGGGGATGCTTTAGGGGTGGTACAGCACTGGACTTCAGTGATGGGGTGGTGGATCATAGAGAGAGGGGTTCAGTGTACCCCTAGGTTCCATCATATTGTAAATTAATGATGACTCCATCGTAAAAGACAAAGAAAAGCTTTTTTTAAAAAGCCAAATACTTAGAAGTGAGTAGGAGTTGTGGGTGAGGATTGTGGTGTATGAAAAATATGGTGGATGAGGAATACCGTGGATGAGGAATGGTGAATAAAGAATGTGGTCTGTGAGGAAGGTGTTGGATGAGGAAGGTAACAGATGAGGAATGTGGTAGATGAAGAACATGGTAGATGATAAATGTGGTATATGAGGAATATGGTAGATGGGGAATGTGGTCTGTGGAACGAGGAACATGGTGGATGAGGAGTATAGTCTGTGAGGAAGGTAGTGGATGAGAAACATGGTCTATGAGGAATGTGGTTGATGAAGCACGTGGTAGATAAGGAACATAGTGGATGAGGAATGTCTGTGAGTAATGTGGTCTGTGAGGAACATGGTCTGTGAAGAATGTGGTCTGTGAGGAATGTGATCTGTGAGGAACATGGTAGATGAGGAGTATGGTCTATGAAGAATATGGTCGATGAGGTACGTGGTGAATGAGGCACGTTGTGAATGAGGAATGTCTGAGGAACGTGGTCTGTGAGGAACGTGGTCCGTGCCCAACATGGTCTGTGCGGAATGTGGTCTGTGCGGGATGTGGTCTGTGAGGAACATGGTCTGTGAGAAACGTGGTCTGTAAGGAATGTGGTCTGTGAGGAATGTGGTCTGTGAGAAATATGATCTGTGTGGAATGTGGTCTGCGAGGAATGTTGTCTGTGAGGAACATGGTCTGTGCGGAACATGGTCTGTGAGGAATGTGGTCTGTGAGGAATGTAGTCTGTGAGGAACCTGGTCTGTGAGGAATGTTGTCTATGAGGAACATGGTCTGTGAGGAACGTGGTCTGTGAGAAATGTGGTTTGTGAGGAACGTGGACCATGTGAAACCTGGTCTGTGAGGAATGTGGTCTGTGAGAAACATGATCTGTGCAGAAGATGGTCTGTGAGGAATGTTGTCTATGAGGAACATGGTCTGTGAGGAACGTGGTCTGTGAGAAGTGTGGTTCGTGAGAAATGTGGTCCATGCGGAACGTGGTCTGTGAGGAACGTGGTCTGTGAGGAATGTACTCTGTGAGGAACATGGTCTATGAGGAGTGTGGTCTGTGAGGAACGTGGTCTGTGAGGAATGTGGTCCATGCAGAATGTGATCTATGAGGAATGTGGTCTGTGCAGAGATCCCCAGCAGTATATCTGTCCCCCATTCTGCTTCTGTGTATCTCTCAGGAGACTGAGTCTGGCTACTGAGAAAGTCAGTAAAGACAGAACATGTAGGGCTCAAGAGCTAGTGCTTGGGTCACGGAACTTGCCTTGCATGCAGCCAGCCAGTTCTGTTCCTGGTACCATACATGGTTACCCCCACCCCCACCCCACCCCGTACGCCACCAGCCACCCTGAGCATGGTCACACCCGGCCCCAAAACCAAAGAAAGGGAAAATATTTTTGTTCAGCCCTTCTGGTGGTGGAAATCTAATGAGATCAAGTGGGACGAGATGGAAAATTTCAAAAGTCAGTCGTGAGGAGTAAGAGGTACTGACTCAGTCTGTGAGGGCCTGCCTGCAGGTGACCCCTCACCAGCACAGATGCCTCAAGCATGGCAGGGCCAGAGCGCTCCTCTCGGAGAAACTCCCAGGGCACACCCAGACGAGTGTGTGTTCTTCATGCATTAGGGGGTCCCCCGCCACACAGCTATGAAATACCACAAAGAGCGGTAGAAGACATCCAGGCCTCAAAACTAGCATTTGCGGTGGGCCACGACCGCCCCCGGTGACCCCCGTTTCAGTTCCACTTCAGAGACAGGCTGGAGATATGCATGTGACCAGCAGGATGGAGGGGGTGGGGGGGCGGGGACAATGGGGATTTGTTAGGGGGCGGGGGCGGTCCTACAGACAGACACTGTCTGGGGCAGGTAAGAGCCAGGCATGTTGTGGTTACTTAGTTACCACCCCCAATCCCAGTGACTTGTCTGTTTCTTCAAGGGGAGCTTGAAACAGATCAGCTTCTTCAGTTCTAAGAATTTTCTTCCTACAGATTTCCTACAGATTCCTACGAATTTTCTTCCTACAAATGTTATGAGTTTTTTTTAGCTTTGCTTTGGGAGTGGAATCACCAGACTCACCCGGCCCATCAAGCTCAGCAGCAGGAACTGATGCAGGGACAGAGGCCAGGGGGAGGTGTCAGGAGCCCGTGCAGGAACTGATGGAGGAAGCAAAAGGCCAAGGGGGAAGTCGGGAGCCCGTGCAGGAAGGGTCAGGTTAGCCGTTAGCAGGTGGAATGATTTGTTTCTCTCCCCCAGGGAGAACGTCGGAGCCCCCAACACCTCTTCAGGCCCCGGCACACCCTGGATGGGGCCAAAATGAGGGCTTCGGTGCGCATGACCCGGTACCTGGAGTCCTGGGGGGCGGCCAAGCCTTTTGCACACCTGCACCACAGAGATAGCATGACCACGGAGAACGGCAAGATCAGCACCACGGTGAGCAACCCCCACCCAGCCCCCAACTCCTTAGGACAAACCTGCTGCTCCACCTAGAGTGATTATGCATTTTGTAACCCAAGACGATGATTTATGGCTGAGAGTAGTAAGTGAATACAGCGGATCTCACCTAGGGAGTATAAAGCCTGAGATCATAACGAAAGAACAAAGCCATGATGTCCCGAGTGCCTGGCAGTGACAAAGACAGTCTATTATTTATTGGGCATCTTTTCCACCCTCCTGCTTCCAGTGGATAAGAACGTCCCAGAGCTCGTCTCCAGAGAGACAGGTTGGATCAGATGGTGGCCAATGGGAGAGAGACGAGAGCTGCCCTTGAGAGGAGAGAAAAGCTAATGCCACTGGCACTCAGAATTGTCCCAACAGGATTGTTGGTGATTTTAAAGCAATCTCAGAGAGCGAATTCATACAGAATGGCCTTAACTATTTTAGGGGGTACAGCTGCCATTTAAACAGACCACGGAGTGTTATCCCATGTTGTCAAATATAAGGGGCCTCTTCATTCCCCCTCACTCCCAGCATGTCACAGTGAAACCCCAAGTTCAAGGGGGAAGAGGTCCATCATTTTTTGTCTTGACTTAGATTGTTTTTCTCAGATGCTTTTTTTTTTCAACAACTTTTTTTTCAAAAGTCAACAGAAAATCCTGATTATCAGGTAGTCATTAAAGAAGACTGGCCTTGAGGAGGAGTTCGCACTTAGTTGGGAAGTGAGGACACAAGCAAAGCCCAGAGAAATAAGATCTGTTTAAGTGCAGGCAAGTGAGGAAGATGTAGTGGAGAGAGTCTCTGGCACTGAATGGTCGCTGGATCACAGAGGGAGCCTCAGAAAGGAAACAAGGGAATGGGGAACAGAGAGAGGGAAAGAAAATCTAGCTGCCCCAAGAAGGGGTAAAACGTAAAGGTAAAGGCCCTCCCGTTGATCATCGATTTGCTCGAGCGGGCCCAGTAACGTCTCCATTGGAGACTTTGTTGTTACTGTGTCTGGCATATCTAATACGTCATGAAGAGCTTGCCAGGCTCTGCCGTGCGGGCGAGATACTCTCGGTAGCTTGCCGGGCTCTCCGAGAGGGACGGAGGAATCGAACTCGGGTTGGCCATGTTGGCCGCGTGCAAGTTCAAATGCCCTGCCGCTGTGCTATCGCTCCAGGCCCATTTCATATCTTTCAGGGGAAAATGGGAGACAGGGCTGGCTGTGGCATCCCCAGCACTAGGGAAGGAGAGAAGGAGGGATGGCATCCACAGGAAGGAATGTGCAGTTGATTGAGTGTACTAGGAAGACGGTAGAGAATCTTAAGCAAATGCTATGACTCATGCTTCGGGATCATTGAGCCAGAGTACACTGAGAAGAATATTTCCTTGTAAAAGAACTAGTGAAAACAGGGCTGGAGTAATAGTACTCCACAGACTACTTGTCTTTCATGTGGCTGGCCCAATTTGATCCCCAGCATTCCCTCTGGTCCCCAGGCACTGCCAGGAGTAAGAATTCGTATAGACAATGAGAAGCAAATTGAGGCTGTCATGATACAGTGAGTGATACCACACCATATTTGATGGGTTTCAGACAGTAGGCAACAAAATCATATATATATATATATAGATTATATACAAATATATCATATGTATATATTATATATGTATATATTATATATGTATATATTATATATAAATATATATATAAATATATATGCCTCTCGGAGAGCCCAGCTAGCTACCAAGAGTATCCCACCCATATGGGCAGAACCTGGCAAGCTCCCCGTGGCGTATTCGATATGCCAAAACCAGTAACAATAACAGGTCTCATTCCCCTGATCCTGAAAGAACCTCCAATCATTGGGAAAGACAAGTAAGGAGAGGCTGCAAAAATCTCAGGCTGGGAAGAATAGGGACGTTATTGGCGCCTGCTTGAGTAAATCGACGAACAACGAGATGATAGTGATACATGATATAATGATTTGATTGTAGAGTGTGGCTCACTTGGTGGATAGGTACAGAAATGGGAGTCAACGATGAATCCATACTCTGGGGAGACTCCTGAGCACAAAGGATGATGATGGTGCCATTTACTGACTTGGCAGAGTCCGGGCTGAAGTCAGGTGATTAAGGGCAGAAGATTCAAGAATCCGTTGTAGTCTTGTCGATGTCTGGGCACAGCTAAGAAGCAGCCGTGTGGAAGGGCACGCATAGAACTTTGGGGGAGAGGCCCAAACTGGATGGGCATGAGAGAGGCACAGGGTTCTCTGTACTTGAAAATGAGGAACTGGATGCTGGAAAGATCCATAGTGGAAGCCGAGGCTGCTAAGACTTGTCAGCATTTAGACCCAGAGGGGAAAAGTTCCCCCAAGAAGCTCGTCCCTGGTTGTCAGGGAACATCAAAGCTTTCGCTAATCTCATTTTTAAAAAATTAGAGGGCAGGAGCAATAGGGCAGTGGGTTGGGTGCTTGCTTTGCACACGGTTCACCTGGGTTTGATCTTCAGCATCCCATATGGTCCTCCAAGAAGGAGGTCACCCTGTTCGGTGTGACCCAAACACTAAAAGTGGGGGGGGGGGCAGGGTTATATTTTTGTCTCAGAGCCATTGTTAGAGCTAATGGCCGATGAGCCTGTCTCTCATCTCTTGAAATTTGCTCTACACCAGCACTGGTGGTTCATTAGCGCCTTCACTGACTGGTTTGGTGGTTAGTTGCTTTTCTTTTTTTTTTAATTTTTATTAAACTCAATGAGGTACAGTTGTAGATTTACAAATTTTTGTGCTTGTGTTTCAATGATCGAGTACCCATCCCTCCACCAGTGCTCATTCTTCACAACCACTGATCCCTGTATCCCTCCTACCCCCCATCCCCCCATCCCATCTCTGTGGCAGGGCATCCTCTTTTGTTCTCTCTCTCTCCTTTTGGGTGTTGTGGTTTGCAAAAGAGGCATTGAGTGGCAATTATGTTTGGTCTATAGTCTACTTTCAGCATGCATCTCTCATCCTGGGAGGGTCCTCCCAACACCCTTTATTTGGTGCTCCCTTCTCTATCTGAGCTGCCTTTTCCCCTAGCATGTGTGGCTGGCCTCCAAGCCATGGAGTAAACCTCCTGGTACTTATCTCGGCTATTCTTGGGTGTTAGTCTCCTACTTGTTACTTTATGTTCCCCCTAGATGAATGCAATATTTCTATGTCTGTCCCTCTCTTTCTAACTCATTTCGCTTAGCAGGATACTTTCCATGTAGTACCACTTGTATGTAAATTTCATGACTTCACCTTTTCTAACAGCTACATAGTACTCCATTGTGTAGATGTACCAAAGTTTCTTTAATCAGTCATCTATTCTCGGGCACTCAGGTTTTTTCCAGATTCTGGCTATTGTGAACAGTGCTGCAATGAACAAACAAGTGCAGATGTCACTTTGACTATACTTTTTTGCCTCTCTGGGATATGTTCCCAGGAGTGGTATTGCTGGGTCAAATGGGAGCTCAATTTCTAATTTTTTGAGAATTGTCCATGCTGTTTTCCAAAAGGTTTTCAAGATCACACTACAATGTGATTTTCTGTGCTTTGCTCTCCCTGTGAAAAGGCTTTTTCTTTCCCAGGTGTTTTCCTTATTGCATGTTTTACTTACTGGGTTTTCCTTACTATGCGTTTTCCTTACTGTGTGTTTTCCTTACTGAGTTTTCCTTCCTGAGTGTTGGACTCAGTTATTTCTTGTCAGTTTTCACTGTCCCAAGACTGACCCATGCTGTCTCCTCCTCATGGCAGCCTGGGGCCTCAGCACGAGCTCTGCCTAACCTCAGTCTGTTGTGTGAGGGAGTGTACAGCTGAGATTGCTGAGCGCTGTGAGCTCAGAAAGCTGCGTGTGAGCCTAGGGACCCCGTGAACACCCCTTTCCTTACCAGCTGCTCTCAGCATCCAACACAGCCTCGAGTCCCTGGATCCTGTGGGAAAGCTGGGGCCACCGTTGAGCGCCCAGCGCCCACACACCAGGACTGCCCGCACCCTGCGGCCCGGGCGGGATAATCTGGTCATCCTGATTGTGGGCGAGATCAGGCTTGAACAGTGATTGGCAAAAATGACTTCTTTGGTATGACACTTTATATGGTCCCAGATGGCTTTGGATGCAGTAGAGGGAGAGCTGGTGGATGCTGTGTTATATTTACTTTATGTAATAAGCCTTCGAATTCGGGACTGGAGCAATAGCACAGCAGGTAGGGCGTTTGCCTTACAAGCAGCTGACCCGGGTTTGATTCCCAGCATCCCATATGGTGCCCGAGCACCACCAGGAGTAATTCCTGTGTGCAGAGCCACTGAGCATTGCCCGGTGTGACCCAAAAAGAAAAAAAAATACTTCAAATTCAATTATTTTTCAAAATGCCCTTCTATGCCCTAAATATACATCACTATGTAACCTTGGGGATAAAGCAGCCAAGAAAAGTTCCTTTTGGAGCCACTCTGTTCTAACTTTTGCTTTTATTTCCACAAGAACATAAGCGTGGACTCGTGGGTTTGAGGTCTAGATTGGAGCTCCTGGTAGTGGGGCCCTCACTGCCTACCCCTCACCCTCCGCTCAGGAACTGTGATGCCCATTCACTGATCTCTTCTTCTTGATCAATAAGTCACGGTTTCACATACTTAACTGAAGGCAGCATTGCCTTATTTTATTTTTATATACTGTTACACTTCATATAGGTATATATTTGCATTATTTTTATTTTCTTGATATAACATTGGGTTTTTAATTATTGGATTGAATAACCATGAGTTATAAAATTCCAACATATTTGTGTTGAGTTTCAGGAGTACAGATGCTCCACACCAACCCCTTCACACGGTGTTCATTCATGTCCACCAGCACCCCCAGTTTCCCTCTTCCCCCATCTCATGGCAGCTCTCTCCAGTTTCCCTCCCTAACTTATCACCTAACATTGGTTTATCACATTTGTAGGGTTCAGGGTAGGACTTAGAAATCAACATCTGCGTCCCCTACCTTAGACTCACCGCCAGATTTGCTTCCTCTCCTCTCCGACAGTCAGTGGCTTTGCTCCTGCTTCTCTGTCCCCTGTCCCGTGACCTCCCGGGTCGCAGAGTGTGTGTTCTGACTGGCTCATTCCCGGTCCTGTTTCCTCCGTTCCCACCTAGGGGTGACAGCCCCCGGTGCTGGTCCCTTTGCATCTGCCCTGCTGCCCTACTGTGCCCTTGGCAGTGTCCCCTCCTGCTCAGCAGCTGAGTCATCACCATGAGCTTGTAGACCTTCTTTCCAGCAGTGTCTGATGCTGGTCAGGTGGTACCTCCAGCAGGTGTCAGTCACAGGAAATGAGACACACAAACATACAAGGGCTGTCCAGGCTTTAGGTTGCCCGGCAGACACCAGTGATCTCACAGGTCGCTCATTTATTCACTACACTATCGCTCCCTGACCCCCTGGGCTCCAAACAAGCAAGCCATTGATGGAGAGACAGGGGAAAACAAGGGAGCACATCAGGGGACAGCTGGGGAGCACAACAGGGGACAGCTGGGGAGCATATCGGGGGACAGCTGGGAGCACATCAAGGGACAGCGAGGGAGCACCTCAGGGGAAAGCTAGGAAGCACATCGACATTCAGTGGGTACACGAGGATGAGTCTGGGGGTCTCACAGAGCCCGTCAGCACCCTTAAAGTATAACATAAAAATGTGACAATTTCCTGTTTTGATTTTGCCCATGTTTCCCCTCCATCTAAAGTATCCTAAAAGGTCCTATTTGATGCTTTCCTGCAGATATATGTTATTATTCTGTTCTTTTCTTCTCTATTTTTCTTACCTGGGTGCACGTTTGTAAACCCTTTGCATTCTAAGACCAGCACTAGTCATACCTTGGGACATACCCCATGATTGGGTGGGTTTTGTTAAGGGGAGGAATTCCCACTCAGTGAGACTGTTTCTCAGTGACAAGGACTGACTTTAGAATTTCTGGTTCGATCTATGGGTTGAGGCATGTTTAAATATTTGTCGGATGCTAAACTCCACTGTCCTGGGCCTGTCAGCGCTCCGCTCTTCCGTGGCCCTGCCAACTGTCCCGTACAGACCATGGTGTAAAATCTGCAAATCTGCAAATTTCAGCATCTCCAGAAGTATGTGATAGTCCTAACTCTCCCCTCCCCCAGACCCCGCCAGCGTGCTATATATGAACGGAGATTCTCCACATGTATCCCGTTATAATGGACCCCTTTCTCCCCAAGGAGGCAGTTGTTACTTAAAGTATACTTTCCATGATAAAGTAAAGTAAAGTAAAGGCCCTCCCGTTGATCATCGATTTGCTCGAGCGGGCCCAGTAACGTCTCCATTGGAGACTTTCCATGATAAGAGAAGAAATATGCTAAAATAGGTCTCATTGCAACATTAGAGTGTGTTTGGCAATTAATAGGCTTTCTTTTTCTTTCCTAGGATGTTCCAATGGGTCAGCATAATTTTCAGAATCGCACCTTAAGGTATGGTACACGGCCTGCGTTTTCCTTTCTGAAAGCCTACTGCTGTTGTTTTTAATTTCTGGAAGTAATTATCATCAATTATAGCCACTTTGAAGGCTGGTTCTAAAGGAGCCGCTACTGTGGAGAGCTCTGCTAAATTGCTTTCGGCTCCTAAAAAGAGAATCATTGAATGTCTCGTTCTTTGAGTTGAGGGAGGGTTGCGGAAAACAGCACCTGGGAAATGCTTCGGAACTTAAAATTATTCTCTTGAAATAGCTTCTTCGTACTAGCAGCGACTACAAATGGAATTTTCTATAAAATGAGCCTGTGGCTTGAAATTGGTATTTTTCTGTGTAGAGTTCTGGAGAGCGCAGCCTTTCTCGGGGGCAGGGGAGGCTGTGCATGGGCTCAGGTGCCCAGAACTGTCCCAAGTGCAGGGCCCACTAGCACGAGTGTCCACCTTGTCCCAACTCTGCTCCCCCACACTGGTTGCAGAGGCTTCTGTTAGTTGGGGTTAAAGTCCCTATTTCTCATCAGGATCGCAAGCTCTGAAACGGAAGCTGCCTTCCTGCCCACGGGTGCAGGTGCTCTGCCAGGCCACCACGGTGTCCAGAGAGCGGTTTTGTACACTCCCTGCCACCCCCAGCCAGCAGCATGCAGAATCTCACAGTCTCTTTGTGGGACTTGGCAGGGATGAGTTCAAATTCGTATTTTGTGCAAGATTCGAGCATTTTGACACAGGGAGGAAAGTCCTAGATTAGGATCCTTTGTGACAGCCCTGAGTTCTAAGGCTGTTTGCCTTTGAAGTGCTCCTTGGTACAGAGGCAAGGCATTTTGCAGAGAGCATCCTTCTCAGCTTCCTCTGGGCCCAGCACCCAGCCTGGGCGGGGCTATTCTCTGGACCTGTGATACTCTAGCGTGTCTGCAGGTGCGCAGAACTTCGAGGATGCCCCATCCTGCACCCACACCTCCACCAACCCTCTGCAGTTCTGCTTCAAGAGTCTTTTTACTGAACTGACAGTGGCGAGCCCTGGCAGGGGGGACAGTCGTGTGGACAGCGTGTTCTGGGAGCAGCTGTGGCCATCGTCTGTGCTAGGCATGTGGAAGCAGGTGTCCTTCCACTCCCTTCCCTGCAGCAGTCCTCACATGGGTGGCCGGGGCCAGGGAAGAGGACAGCCCTGTGCAGTGACTGGCCCTCAGCTTAGGCCTCCTGCGGGGAGAACCCCACTTTCAACCCCACTTTCACTTACCTGCAGTATGACTTCTGCCATCCACCTGGAACCTAGTGCCATGGCACTGAGTGTCACCTGAGACAGCACCCGCCTCTCAGTGCCCCATGTATAAAGCAAAGAAGGAGCAGGGTTGGGACAGGCCAGAGGTGTGGGGCCCAAGAGAAACACCACTGAGAGTTGGAAAGAGGGGCGGGAGGCACAGTAGCGGAGCTGGTGACCGCAGGGCCCAGAGGCGGAGAATGGAAATGGAAGGATGATCGCATGGTGCGCAGAGCCTGGGTGGGCAAATGAAGTGTTCCCTGCTGGTGGCTGGCGGGCCCGAGGCTCCCTACCACTTCCGGAACAGTGTACAGCAGGACAAGCAACACGGGAGCAAGGGGTGCCTAGTCATGTGCTTTTAGCAACTTTTTGAGCGACAAGGTGCTAGTAACAGAACTGCTCCTAAAACAGTGTCGCCCCGGCGAGGCCACAGTGGGACCAGGCATCGTACGGAACCAGCGTCTTTCCTGTGAGCACAGCTTGCAGAGGCCAGAGGCTGGTAGGACTGTGAAAGCAAGGACACCAGGACGAAGGCAGGAACTCAGGTGCAGGTGTGGAGCTATGGAAGTTCAGCAAGTTTCTAAAGTGGAGACAGCGTCTCCCAGAGCCAAAGGTGTCTGATCTGAAGCCTCTTCTATTTGCCTGAAGGAAGAGTCACTCGTTTGCTTCCCAGGTTGGCTTGGACTTGTTCATGCTGGTGCTGGGCTCACTAGCTGTGGGCGAATGGCTTCAAGTCATCCTGGTTTGGGATGGAGTCTGCACTGTTCTGTTTGGAGAAAACAGGCAGAGGCAAGACCCAGAGGCTGGGACTTCGAAGGCACAGCTCTCTCTGCCACCCTGTGAGATTCAGTTATGGGTCAGTGCGATGCTGTGCATTTTGTGCTTCTGTGAACCCAGGCTTCAGATCTCAGCAGAGCTGTTTGCGTGCCAGATGACATGCTCAATGATAGCTTAACCAACCAGCAGGCAGAGGCCAGGGCCTCTCTCTGCCTTGTACCAGGTCACTTGTTCACCCACGGGTGTGCAGGCAAGCCTCGGCTGTTTACGAGTTTCCTGTGCTATGCAGTAGCTGGCGAAGGTGCATAGAACAGATATCATTTGGGTTTTCTGCCCGACATCACCCTCATGCAAATGGTCAACTTCACCTTGGGAACTCATTATGATTTGGGTGAGATTTGTTGGCAAAGAGTCTTTGCTTCTAAGAGCTGATATGCAAATATCAGTGGGGCTTTCTGTGAATAGCACTCTCAGAAACACGGGAAAACCCTTTCAAGACATGCACTTAGCTTTGATGTGCCTAAAACAAGACTGCAGTTCTGCAGATTCTTGAAAACTGGCCAAGGCAAACAGCAGTGAAGAATGGCTGCTTTGTCGAACAAAGCAGATTTGGACAGGGGCACTGCAGAGCCAGGGCAGTCTCCCGTGAGGACATCAGAGGCGAGGCAGATTGGAGGGAAGTGCCTTTGTCCAGGCACCAATTACATCTCTTCCAAGGCCACTGCTTCGAGGAGAGTCTCCTTGTCTCAGAGTGAACAGATGCAGTTATTCTACAGCGCCATAAATTCAGTTCACTCATTTGCAGCAATTGAAGACAAAACCCCTTTTTGTCTTTTTTCTTTTTCACTCAAAATAATTAAACATGGGTTTTAGCATCTAGAAAAGTGGGCTTAATGTTTGGCAATATTTTTAGCCTCACCATCTCCTTTCTCATACAGAACCAAGTCACAGAAGAAGAGATTTGAAGAGGAATTGAATGAAAGGATGATTCAGGCAATTGATGGGATTAATGCACAAAAGTGAGTACTTCATAAATTATCATCCATCTCTTATTTCAAATCCTATTATTTGAAGGTGTCATATTTTCCCAAAGAATTTCACCACAAATTTCTGTAACACTCATTATGATAAAGCTAAGTTTTTTGAAAGACAATTCATTTATTTCTCCTAGCCTTTGTTAGTAGTTTGATCTTTATAAAACAATAGCTTCTGCCTAATAAACACTTTCTGAATGAGTTACGAAGAACAACCACCTATGAGAGAAAAAGGTGTAATATTTTTAGAAGTCATGGCCAAAATATGAAAAAGTGTTCTTCATCACTTATCAAAGAAATGTAAATCCAAACAATAAGAGATTTCACCTCACACCAGTGATACCAGGTAAAGGTAAAGGCCCTCCCATTGTTCATCGATTTGCTCGAGCGGGCCCAGTAACGTCTCCATTGGAGACTTTGTTGTTACTGTGTTTGGCACATCAAATACATCCCGGGTGGCTTGCCAGGCTCTGCCGTGTGGGCGAGATACTCTCGGTAGCTTGCCGGGCTCTCCGAGAGGGGCGGAGGAATCGAACTTGGGTCGGCCATGTTGGCTGCGTGCAAGGCAAACGCCCTACCGCTGTGCTATCGCGACAGTGATACCAGAGAAATGGAAATAAGCAAACACTGGCACTGATGTGGGGAAACGGAACCCTCATCTGAAAAAAAGGGGGGACCAGAGCAGTACAGCAGGGAGGGCACACTGTCAGGTGCCAGGGTTTGATCCCTGGCACCCCATGTGGTCCCCTGAGTACCATCAGAAGTGATCCATGAGCACAGAGCCAGGAGTAGGTCCTGCTGACCTCCAAGAGTGTCCCCAAACAAAACAAAAACAGTCTATTGGAATTCCCTGGAGGGAAATCTCATCTGTCAGGCTAAGTGGCTGTCCGTTCTGATTGCTTTTACTTCCCCTGGAAACTGAGAACATGAAGGCTGTGTTCCAAACTGGAAGAGGGTGTTTGAGTATCAGTGGGGGTCTGCGTTGGGGTGAGGCTGCAATGAGAAGCTTGTTCTTGTGGAGGAGGACAAGGACAAAATATTATTCCAAGTCTGTTAGCCTCTCACATTGGTCAGTTCCATGAGTGTTTAGTGTTTGAATGGCTGTGTTATTTTCATCAGCCCAGGAATGCAGAGGGGAAGCAGGGCGAGGAGGTAAAGCCCATTTGTGTCTCGGGGCAGCTGGCAGTGCTTAGCGAATGGGGCCGAGGGCACACGACGTTACAGGGCATGTCAGGCCACCTGAACGTCATGAAAACATCAGGAGGTCCAAACCATATGGCTTCACAGAGAGCTTCCCCTTTCCGGAAACTTGACTGTCATATTTACTGTGAAAGTTGACTGCAGGAAAAGTAGGCAGATTTTCACCTAGAAGTCTTTGCCTCATAAAACCCGGCAATCTTCAAGGTTATTCCTTGAAACCATTTACTTTAGATGTATACAGGGTGGGTGGAGCGATAGCACAGCACAGCGGTAGATAGGGCGTTTCCCTTGCGCACAGCCGGCCCAGCCGGGTTCGATTCCTCCACCCCTCTCGGAGAGCCCGGCAAGCTACCAAGAGTATCACGCCCACATGGTAAGACCTGGCAAGCTACCCGTGACGTATTCAATATGCCAAACACAGTAACAACAAGTCTCACGATGGAGACGTTACTGGGCCCTCTCGAGCAAATGGATGAACAAGGGGAGGACAGTGACAGTGACAGTATACAGGGTGCATGAAAGAGTTCTATAATCGAGTGTGTGTGTGTGTGTGTGTGTGTGTGAGAGAGAGAGAGAGAGAGAGAGAGAGAGAGAGAGTGGGTGTTTGTGTATGTGAGTGTATATGTGTGAGAGTGTGTATATGATTGTGAGTGTGTATGTATGTGTGTGAGAGTGTGACTGTGTGTGTATGAGAGTATGTGTGTGTGAGTGTATGTGTGTGAGTGTGTATGTGTGTGTGTACATGCACACACACAGTTGTCCTTTTCTCAGTGTAGTTTCTGGATTGCTCCAGGCTTTCCAGTCACACACGTTGTGTTGACACACTGAATGAATGGCTGCCTCCGCCCCCACGAACACAAAAGTGTCTCAAACACACCAGGCCTTGCACCTGTCCCAAAGTGCTTAGAGCACAGACACCTGAGCAAACAGAGCCAGCCTGCTCCTCTCTGTGGGGCCCTCAGCAGGGGACAGCTGGCAGCTCACCTCTGGGGGGAGAACTGGATTCCTAGGATGTGGATGGAGGGTGTTTGCACCAGAGGAAGTACCACAGTGCTCTCCCGAGTGTAGCGGGGCCTGTTCCTTAACAACACTCAGCAATTAAACAACAATAGGACGAATAATAGCCATCAGCCCGCAGTGCCAGGTGGACCCACCTGGACCTTGGAGCCTTGGAGCTGCTTGGGCGACCACCCCTCAAACCCCCTGAGGCCGCATGCTCAGAGAGCAGTGGTCAGCGTCGGCGCTCCGGGACTTGACACGGCTGCTTCCAACTGACTGTGTGGCCCTGTAGAGTGTTCAAATGCCAGCTCAGCACACATGCTGTGTTAACACCTCTTCACTCTGGAGAGGTGTCCGGTGCTGCTGGACATTCCTGAGCTGTCCTTAACTCAGCATGTCTCAGAGAGGGGACAGGAAGAGGAGGCGGCGTGCCTCGCACCTCCAAGGGAATGTCCTCGGTGCCCTGGCCAAGCCTTCTCAGCCGCCACGCTGTCTGGTGCCTCCCACAGCTGCTCTTGGCCTCAGAGACCTGCTGAGCTCTGGGTGTCCCCCACAAGGCCAGCAGGGCCTCCAGACTGGGGACAGGCAGGCTGCCCCCCACTCCCTGATCAGAGATGCAGCTGAGGGCCTGGCATTGGCGCTGCTTCAGCACTGAGACTCGGAGTCACCTGCCACGCCTGGCACAGTGCCACCTCCCGAGGGCAAAGACAGACATGGCCCCTGGAGCTCACACTGGGGGACACTGGGTAGGGGGCAGCTCCCATGCAAGCACAGCCCAGGGGCTAGGGCTTCTTGGGGTTCAGCCAGCACTGCAAGGGCGCCTGGGTGCAGAGGGCGTCTAATGACTGTGGGGGCTCGGGAACCCCGGTGGGGCAGGCTGAGTCAGAGTCCCCAGTGAGTCCCACAGAAACAAGAGAGGAGCCTGAGCCCCACACACCCCCAGGTCTGAAGCCAAGGGAGGCTTTCAGGGGGTCTTGACCAAAAAGGGAGGCAAGGGGTGGGGAGCACATCCTGGAGGTCTGCCTGGCCCTCTGCTCTCAGGAAGGGGCATCCCTGGGAGAGCTTAGTCGGAGGGACCCAGGGCTTAGTTGGAGGGACCCTGTCAGAGGACAGGGCCTCAGTCGGGGTGTGCCTCTCCATTTCATCTCTTCCTTCTCTAGTGTTCCAGCTCCCACACAATAAGTGTTAACGTTATTCGGCCACAAAAGATTTTCCAATTCCAAATATATAGTCATCTCATTTGCAAACCCAAGTTCCTGCCAAGTCAGTCAGGGAACCAATTATGAATATTAATCATGTATCTATAATATCTACGTGCAAATGTAACTTGGATTCCTGATGTGTTCAATAAACAAGTAGCTAGTTTTAGAAAATCAATAGAGTGTAAACTTTTCCCAACTGTGACCCAGACATATTGAAAACACACACACACAGACACAGACACACACCACACACACACACACACACACGGATACACACACAAACACGAACACAGGGACACACATGAACACACACTCACTTTCCCCCTTTTGTCCCTTTGCTGCTGAAGGCCACACACAGCACCCTCTGTGGTCACCAGGGGTCACTCCCAGCCCGTGGCGGTGCTTGCACACACTGGTCTGTCCACTGGGCATCACACCAGACATGGAAGCAGCTTCCCCTGACAGCAGGCCTGTGGGGACGGTGCCGAGCGCATCACCCCAGGACCAAGCTGGCCTCACTCTGCTGGGCAGGTGTTTCTTGCTGCGGAACATCCCAGGCCCCGCCCATACGTTCTGTTGGTATTTATTTCCAAAGAGTGTTCGTGGTAGCTTTTCACTTTTTCTTACCTTCTTATCCTCATATGTAAGAGTGTGTGTTTCTAAACATATCTTCACAGAGTATTTTTTAATTGTTGAGTGTGTTGACTCCACCAGGCTTTGCTTACCTCACCGTGTGCCTGGTCTCACTCTTAGCCTGCAATTACAGCCAGAATTCCAACAAAACATTTGTCTTGAAACTCTTCCTCTGTTTTAATTGCTTTCCTAAGTCAGACTTCCCAATGTGTAATATTGCATACAGTCATGTCATTTCTATTGATTTTAACATCTGAAGACTACATGTATTTGTACCCGTGTGTCTGCATGAATGCCAATTTTCTGAATCAAAAGCATTTGGTGTTCATATTTTCACTCTTTTTAAAGGCATGTTTGTCTTCAAACATGATTTTTGCTCCATAGAAATGAGAAAGAATGGCAGGGATGTGATTTTCAGTCTAAAAATCCCTCTGCTCCCCCTGAGGTTCCTGTAAATGGTTTATATGTGCAGTGTCGCTTGCTATAAACAAACAAAAAATAATGTTTCTCTGTGAAAGAGATCCTTGAGCCACCATGCACTCTGTGGAAAGTGAAAGCATGTATTTGTGATGCACTTAAAATCCCTTCGCTCACTTATCACTTGGATTATAAAATTTGGATACTTTGAGTTTCAGATTGACATGACAGTTGGTGTATAACAGACCCGAGAAGAGAAGTGGGTGGGTTGGAGTTTGATATTTGAAGACCCTATTAGCAGGATCTAGAATCCAGATGCAGTGACTAGGCTTTATGTCCATTTCTAAAATGTTAAATACTGAATTATTTACTGCACTGTGGCACTGTCCTCCCATTGTTCATTGATTTGCTCGAGTGGGCCCACTAACGTCTCCATTGTGAGACTTGTTGTACTGTGTTTGGCATATTGAATACATCACGGGTAGCTTGCCAGGCTTTGCCGTTACAAGAAGCAAAAATCAAATGAAAGGCAATAGCTAAAGTGGTGGTTTCAGCTGCTTGGTGGACCCAGTTTATGATGCTTCTGCCTTTCTATTCTAGGCAGTGGCTCAAGTCTGAAGATATCCAGAGAATCTCGCTGCTTTTCTACAATAAAATGCTCGAGAAAGAAGTAAGCTCTTTTTTCTTCCATTTTGTTTCCTGACATGTTCGAGTTGTTTTTTTTTTTAATCCCTTCATGAAATCACATCGTGTTACTGACGTGTGACACTTGGGCTCCATCTAACTGGGCCAAAACTCTTTCCAGAATGTCCTGTTCCATGCAGCAAGAGTTTAATCCTTCTTCCGGCGAGCAGGTCTCAGTCCTGGTTGCCATCTGGACCCTGAGGCAGAAGCTGAGGGAGCAAAGCCAGGGGCTTGAGAGAGAGAGAGAGAGAGAGAGAGAGAGAGAGAGAGAGAGAGAGAGAGAGAGAATTAGAGAATTGACTCCCTGGCTCTCTCAGCCCCAGCTTGTTTTAGAAAAGGGTTTAAAAGATAACAGAATCTTTTCTTGATGCATTTACAATGTTCTTACACAAACCAGCTTTTTGACCAAATAAAAGAAAGGGTGAGATTCACAATTAGACACATTTGGCTGAACCAGAAGCACTGAGCTTTATTTAGTTTAGTTTTGCTGCATCCAAGTACTTTAGCATCTATGATTATAAAGTCAGGCTATTGCAGGCGCAAATAAGTAAGAAGACGTGGTGCTGGGTGTGGGGGCAGAGTGGATCTTTTCAAACGGGTGGACAGTGGTCACAGGAAGCTCCATTTTCTGCCCAGCCAGCCATTTGCCTCTTGCTCGTATTGAAGCTAGAGAGGGAGAGGAAGGTCATTCTCACCTTCCGGCCTACGGCGAGGAGGATCTTTGTTGGGACTCCCGAGATCACTCACAGCAAGGGTATGAAAGTTCTCTTGAGAAGTTTGTTCATTTTTTAATGACTGAGACATGCAAGTAGCAAAATCCCTTCCAAGATTCACCAAGGTGGACAGAAACTTGCTTTTGTGTTAGTGATCATGATGGAGGAATGTCACCTTCTAAATGAATGAATGCATTGACAAATGTTTTTGCCAAACGGCTGTTTAGCATAATTTGTTATAATTGACTGCTTTACCCTTGAATAACTTGAACATATTATAATGGTTACTTCTTGTTGAAATATTCCATTATCATCTTCTTCACTGAAGTCCATATCCTCTATGAATACCCCCCAAAGAAATTCCAACTCATATCTCTCCACAAAGCACAGGAGAAGATAAAAGATAAGCGTGTAATTGAATGCATAAAATAAAATCACATTTGGTAATTATGCTAATGTCACTGCTTCATCAGTATGTAAATTATCCTGGCTATTAGCTCACAAAATTCACCAGAAACTATTCTAGTAAACAGAAGGTAATCATCATTTTTAAATGCAGCCTCGCTGACACTTCCCAGATGTCCAGATCTGCAGAGGCCAATTTGGAGCATATTTGAGAGGTCCTTGGGGTTCTAGTTCACTTTGGGGCTCCTGACGCCCCCGCCTTTCTCGAGACAGCAGGAAGAACAGAAAGCAACAAGATGGAGAGAGAGAGAGAGACAGAGACAGAGACAGAGACAGACAGAGACAGAGACAGACAGAGAGAATTGGATCACCCAGAGACCCATAGTTCTAGAACCCAGAGTCTCTAGCCCAAGAAACATGTACTGCACAGGAAACAGAATGTGTAGCTAGAGATCATGCAACTGACCAGAAGTCTAAGGAGGCTTCGATTGTGATGCCCGCAGTCATTGTTTCCTTTGATGACAGATCTCTCTTTGGAAAGGCTGGGTAATTAGGCCTCGGCTTCCGGAGCCGAGGATAAGGGTATGGGGGATAAGGTCCCAGTTTCACACAATGCTTTGTCTCCCCAAGAATCTGAATCTATCATTCTGGCCAAAAGTTAATTAATATAGAAGCGTTTCTGCCTGGAAGAATTGTCGTAGTTTTAAATAAATGGGGTTACATGAAGCTATTTGAGTACTTGCATGCCACTGGAAGGATTCTATGGCAACGAGTAGGTTGTCAAAGGTACAGCCTTTGCTGGTGTTCCCCTACCCAGCTCTAGAAGGGCAGGGGAGGTATACTGGTCAGCTCAGCACCTGCAGTGGTAGGAAAAGCCGGGTGAGCCCTGCCAGTGACCAGTGACCCTGGGTAGGCGGAGAGAACCAGCCAGTTTCCAACAAGCTAAGCAAGGAGCTCAGAACTTGCTAGAACATTACCCATTTATCTTTTGGACTTATACGTTACTCACCCACTCTATGTCGATCAATTGAGAGAAGTGCATACCAGTTGTGTGAATAAAAGGAGGACATTGCCCTTTCTTGGAACTCTTCCAAAGTACAGTAAGTATCCCATAAAAAGTTCCAAGCTCTCCTTCCCATAATCACAGGCATCTGGCCCTGGGAACGTGGGCCCCTGCATGGCCCCGAGGGCCATGGGCTCCTGCCATCATGCCTGGGCAGTGCTCAGTGTGTGCCCTGCTGTGGGGGCTCACAGCAGCCCCTGAGCCTGGGTCTCTGGCCAGTTAGGTGCCCTTGGCAGTTGTCTCACGGAACCCTGGAGGAGCCAGCTTGGGGACTCAGTGGCCAGTCTTCGTCCTGAAACGTTCCTGCCGTGCCTTCCAGTATGGGCTGCGACATGCAGGGGATGCTGGGCTGCAGTTGAGTAGGATCCTGTTCTCACAGCTCTCACTGCTCCTTCTTCCCCCAGTATCGAGCCACAGCACTGCCGGCCTTCAAGTACTACGTGACGTGCGCATGCCTCATCTTCTTCTGCATCTTCATCGTGCAGGTCCTGGTGTTACCCAAGTAAGTACCTGCGCTCCTCCTAGGGGCACCCCGCGTGTGCCCGATGACATCGGAGGAGGGACAGATTGCCCAATACAGGGGCTGGGCGGCGTGTCCAAGGCTGGCAATGCACAGGGTTGGGCGTGGGGGAGGGGGTTGTGGTGGTCAGTGCCCCCTGCCCTGTGCTTTCTTGGAGCCCATGGAGACATCTGTGTTTTTTTTGCTATGTCAGCTTTTATTCATTTTATTGAGATGCCAGTTTACAACCCTCAGTACATGCTTTTCATCCAGACAGGTGCACAGACTCTGTCACTCACCTACCACCATGGTCTCGCTGCGCTCTTTTCCTCTCTCTCTCTCTCTCTCTCTCTCTCTCTCTCTCTCTCTCTCTCTCTGTTGCTTTCAATGCCCCCACAGCATGCATCAGCCCAACTTTCCTTCAGGATATTGTTTATTTACTATTTTAGAGTCTAAACAAAAAAAAAAAAAGAAAAATGGCTGTGATTATCTAAGTCGTTGGGGACAGCGATGACAGATGAATGTTCTCTCCTTATCATTCTCTATTTTGTCAAGGATGACAGATGTTCCAACCTGGCCAGGTTTAGTTATATGATGGCACTGCATGTGAGCGGGACACGCAGACCCCTGAGCCGCTCAGCGGGCCAGAGTGGGTTGCACTGTGTCTCCTGGTGTGGAGAGAGGTGGCTAGTCTGTCCCACCCTCTCCAAGGGTGGCCAAGGCAAAGGCACTTACAGAAGTGCTGCAGGCACCTGGTGGGCACAGTAACTGGTACCCCTGAAGCATCAGTGTAACGTCAGCACTGTTGGAACCATGGTCCCTCAACTCCAATCAGATAAAATCTTGATTTTTTTTCTTCTGGCCACACCCAGCGATGCTCAGGGATTACTCCTGGTTCTCAGGAGACCATATGGGATGCCTGGGAGCAAACCAGGTGGGGATGCATGCAAGACGAGCACCTGTCTACTGTCCCATCTCTCCAGCCCCTAAAGTAAAATCTTTATGTCATGTAAATAAAAGGGAGCCTTCCAATTTTCTGATAATTTGGGTTCCTGGAAACTGGGATAAAATTGAGCATAATCAGGAACTATTTTCTCCTTTAGGATTCGGGGGGGGGGGTGGAAAATTTTTTTTGAGGTCACTTGGTTAGCTTGATGATGTCATTTGAAAAATGTCTCCCTGCAACTGGGAAGCTCGTGCAGAGGTCATGGCGCTTCTCTTGCTCTGGGGCAGATCCAGGTCCCATCCCGGGTCCCACAGAGCCTCCCCTGAGCACTACTGCCACGTAGTAGCTAAAGACAAACAGAACCCTTTGCTCTTCTTTTCCTTTGCTCGATCTTATTGCCAGAACAGCAACCCAAGGCTGGGATTTCCACATTTAGCTCAGGAGTGCTCCACCTTGGGTCGCTCTTTGTCAGGGGTCTCACTTCATTTTAGTTCATGCACATTTGGTTGGGGTTCACCAAGGCTCCTGCTTTCCTTTTCAATGCCAGCGAGCCTGAATGACAGGGCTGCCTAGATAGCACCTGGTATCTAGGGGGGCCTTAGGGGTCAAGCTTGCAGCCTCAAGTACAGTTTGAGTCTCTGCAAGCCGGATATCCTGCAGTGAGTTATCTCTGAACACCCTCCACTCTGCATTTTGGGGGTTCAGTTTCACATCTCTTCAAAATACCACACCACAGCCTCAATATTTCTCCATCACAGTTCACTGGACACCCCCTGCCTCCTCTGAGAGGCATCGTGACTGGATCTAGATGTGTGTTCTGGGCTGGAAAGACTGTGTAGCAGGAGGAAGGTTCTTGCCTTGCATGTAGCTGACTCTGACTCAACACCCGGAACCCCACAAGGTCCCCTGATCCCTGAGCACAGAACCGGGAGTAACCCCTGAGCACTGCCAGGTGTGACCTCCAAGAACTGAAATACATTTTCATTTGATCTTGTCTATTGCTTTGTCCTTGAGCATTTTTGCATTCCCTAACTTGTGGCAGTTCATTTGGAAATGTTGTGCCCAAGATTAGTTTCCTTATTAATCAAATATGGACAGGTTGGGGAGGAGGAGGAGGTTGCATGCCGACAGGTACAACCCAAAAGCTTGGTGCCACTTTTTTGCAGGGTGCCCACTGTTCCTCATACATCAGGCTTGAAATAAATACAAGGGCAAGCCAACCTTCCTCTAGACAGGCTGTCCCCAGGGAAACTCCCCCTGGTGGGTTAATTCATTTCCATTCCCCAAAATGTGAAGGATCAGAAGTCCTCCTCAGTGCCAGAACTGGACCACCTGGCATGAGATCCAGCTGCCCCCACGTGCACAGGGCCAGTTGGCCAGACCCTGGAGAGGCAGGATGATGAGACAGCACCTCCGACCCCACTAGGGAAGGGACACTCGTTGCTATTCTCAATGCAACACACTCATTTCTCTCCATCTTCCTGTGGGAAGAGGATTTTTACATTGTCTGCATCACGGTTCAAACACAGTTTGTCACCCAGAGTTGAGAGAAGGGAAAGTGATGGAAGGATTTTAAAAGATTACACCAGAGATGACAGCGTCATCTTAGACCAAAGGAAGCGGTTGATGGCTTCCTGGGCTGTGACTCTGCCTCCACTCCTCTTGCTTCTCTCCTGGGTCGTGCCGTTTACGATGAGCCCCCGAAGTACATCTCTCACACAGCAACAGTTAGTGTTTTGTTTTTCTCTGGTGCCACAAGCTGGAGTTTGAGCGCGAAGGTTGTGAAATCTGTGTGGTTGCGTTTCCCTGTGTGGGCTTTCAGGAGCCGCAGCCAAGAGCTAGATCAACTCTGTTCTGGCTCCTGTTTTGCCGACGTGCCATCAGGCACATCACATTGATTTTAAGTCATACTCTGTTGCTCTTCTTCAACCTCCGTTCATGTCAATGTGCTTATTCTTTTTTTTTTCCCCCAAAATGTCTTGTGGGCTGGAACAATAGCACAGCAGTGGGGCATTTGCCTTGCACGCAGCCAGCCCGGCCGAGCCGGGTTCAATTCCTCCGCCCCTCCGGAAGAGCCCAGCAAGCTACCAAGAGTATCTCGCCCGCACGGCAGAGCCTGGCAAGCTACCCGCTGTGACGTATTCATTCAGTATGCTAAACACAGTAACAAGTCTCAAAAAAAAAAAAATGAAGACTTACTGGGCTTGCTCCAGCAAATCGATGAACAATGGGAGAACAGTGTTTGTTTCATTTGTTTGTCTTGTGAACTAGTCTAAAACTATGGGAACCTGGGAGAACAGTGTTTGTTTCATTTGTTTGTCTTGTGAACTAGTCTAAAACTATGGGGACCTAGAAAATGAGATGCGGTAATATTCACATGTCCCACATGTATTCACCTTGGCTGTCTTCCCAGAGCCAGAAACTTGTGTTTTGGGGCCGTCTTGTAACTCCCGTGTGCTTCCTATTTGTATTTATCTTATCAATTCATCTGATATCATTTTTTAATATTTAGTATTACTTTGCGCCGACCCGAGTTCGATTCCTCCGCCCCTCTTGGAGAGCCTGGCAAGCTCCCCGTGACGTATTCGATATTCGATATGCCAAACACAGTAACAACGAAGTCTCCAATGGAGACGTTACTGGGCCCGCTCAAGCAAATTGATGATCAATGGGAGGACCTTTACTTTTACTTTACTTACTTACTTTGGGCTAGAGTGATAGCATAGCGGTAGGGTGTTTGCCTTGCAAGCCGCCAACATCCCTGACCTGAATTTGATTCCTCTGCCCCTCTTGGAGAGCCCGGCAAGCCACCGAGAGTATCTCGCCCGAATAGCATTTCCTTCCTGTGTCATCCGATGCTGACTGCACACTCACTTGTGACCGAAAAAGTTTCAACCCAGGGCAGTCTCTTGTTCTGACGTGTGTGACAGCGTCATAGAGCAAGACTTCAGTGCATTCCTGCCGTGGACTTCTGAGCTCACTTGTTCCAGTTATGATAGTTCGTGAAATCTGTGGCTAAGATGAGCTCACTAAGAGCGCAGAGGAGATTGAGTAACCTCACAGAGGGAGCTGGGTCCTGGATCTCGGTTTTCGGAGCTGAGTCTGTTCACAGTGGCCTGTTGAGAGCCAAAAGCAATCAGACAGGTGGGCAGAGTCCCCAGGCTTGGAGACCAGGGCACTTTCCCCATCAGCAAAGCCCCTGTGGCACCTGCCCCTGGGAGCCGACATTAGATCCTGCCCCAGGTACCCATTGGTCCTGCTCGCTCTCTGGCCACTCACCAGAAGCTTCTCAGCTTCCTGCCATTCTCTCTTCTTACTTACAGGCTCACATCGTTAAAATGAGCCATTCTGTTGTATTTGATGAACGTCTACATCAGCGGCTCACTCCTGCTGATACACCCACTTTGGGTTTGTTTGGACTCTGGTTGGGGTAGGGAGGCTGTTTCATTTTTGGTAACTTCCTCATGTTTGTGTATGTTTTTTTTTTTGAAACTAGGAAAGAAATTGACTGAATGAGTGAATGATGGCATGAATGAATGAATAGTAGGAGGTAATTTGTAATTTTGAAAGACCCAGGAAGAGAAAATGTTTGCTTAAAGAGTTTTTTGCCCAATCTCTATTGGGTCTGTATTTTCTAATTTCGGATCTAGGGTTATAATTTCAATAGCTGTAATTAGGATTGCTAGCTGAATACTATCTCTGGAGTTTTTCCATCATTCTATTAACCTTACTCTGTAACTTTAACATAAATGTAAAATGCCTTCAAAGACCAAAAATTATCAAGCATGAATTATTTCTGTATTTTTATAATTTTATTCATACTGTCCATAAAGCTAAATTTTTGTTAAGTCAAGCATGAACAATTGTTAAACTAAAAGTGATTTTTTCCCTAATAAAGTTCCATTAAATATCATGTGTTTAATTAGCCTAAGTTAAGAATGATATTTTACTTAAGGAAAATTAATAGCCAAATTATAATCTTAAATATATTAGCACTATTTCTTCTACTTAGATTTCCTTGTACTCATTACTTATAATCGTTCAGTGCTCATTCATT